GAGATGTTTGTCAATTACATTTGTGAGATTTGTTATTTTATTTCCGGCATTCAGACCGTTTTTTTTTTTTTTTTTTTTTGGAAAATATGTTTCTCATGAAGTAATAATATTCTAATGTAGTGTATTGATGGTATTGTAAATGACTAGCGTTATGATAAGGGAGAAAAAAATATATAACATGTATATAACATAAAACCTAATATATAAATATATAATTAAACACTGTTCTCATAAACTAATCTTCGTCCCTGCTCCCTCTCTCAAAACAGATATGGCAAATGAAAAATCATTTTTAGGTGTTTCAGTACCGAAAAGCTCCTTCCTTGAATCCAATAGTCAATTTCGTCAAAAATAAGGAACAGGTCTTGTGTCTTAAAATAGCACCTAATTAATATTAGAGGGCGGGGTGGCCGAATGGGCTAACGGGTATGCACTGCACCGCCGTTGCCCGGCAACCGGATATATGATTCTATGATATGAAAATAATCACGAGTTCGCGTCCCGGTGCCTGAGGGGATTTTAAATTCCCCGCCCTCACCCTCTGGTCCGGGAAAATCCCGTATAGCCTAAAATGCGAGGTAAAAAAGAACAGAAAAAAAAAAACCTAATTAATATTGAAAAAAATATTGACGTTTGCAATTAAATGGATATTTGCATTTACAGTAATTTTTTAAAAAAGTTATTGAAAAGGTACATACGTAAGGTTGAGGAATCCCAATTTTTGTTTTAAGCATTCAGGCGATGACCGACCAAATATACAACCGCATCAAGTTCAAGAACTTAGCTTTCACCTAAGCAGTGCGGGAAAGCGAAATATAGAATGAATATGCAATGGAGGCGTAAAGTATGGCGAGAAAGTGCAAGCTCTCTTTCTAAATAATGTTATCACGAATTCTTAGTATCGATTTTACGATCGATTCATGAGCAGGAAAACATAAAATTATAAGAAGTATATTGGAACTTTGGCGTGGCATCTAAATATAAGAAATAAAATTATTAATACAAGAATACTATGATAAAGTATAAATATACTATATGGACAAACGTATTTTAATAATTATCACTATTAACTAAGAATCATTTTGAAGATATATAGTTTTTGATTGTATATATATATTCATAACCAACCCTGAAGGTGAAAAGAATTTAGTAACAATATCCTAAAGAAAAATAAAACGTTTGCCAAGTGAATCACTATGCTCCCCCGCCATCTTTATTGGTACATAAGAAATTACACATGCATGCATACACTTCACTAAGATTATAATTTTATATAAAACTAAATAGAATAATCCAATAAACATGATATTAATAAATAAATAACATTAAGTTTTTGATCTTATATAATCTCTGATCGCCATATGTTTACTGCGTACTATAATGCACAGTACATGGTGCACCTTAACAATAACACTTTAACAACAGTAATATAATGCACCTTAACAATTACATTAATTCTTAACATTTTTATATTAATTTTAACCATTTAATGGAAATTGATATCCGAAAATTTGCATGTTATTCCCTAAATTTCCACAAACTCAATCGAAGAAAAATGTGCGTATCCGCAAACGCAAGCAGTTAATAAAATTTGACATAGTGTGAGCAAATAATTATGAGTCTCGGGGCCGAGGTGCTTTTAACTGAGGCATTAATTTGCAATCTCCCCTGTCCCTAGTAATACCCTAAATAGTCAAAAAGTTGAGAAAGGGGAAGAAAAAAAAAGGCAAACACGAGATAAAATTTCTTTTCTAATGTTGAAAATGCTCCGTAAAAAAAAAAAAAAAAAAAAAAAAAAAAAAAGAACTAACTCACACCATGGACCTTAATATCCCATTCGTAATATCAATAAAAATCTTATATATTATCCAAATCCACCAGCACAATCCCTATCTAGTTCTACCCATCCCAACAAATCTTCTCGAAGGTTGAAGCGGCAGTGGCTCAGGTATATTTTGTAAATAAGTATACCTATATATTGGGGTCTCCACTCAAGCCTAGCCTTTAATATCAGTAATGCGGATGAGTATGGGGCGCTGGGATCTCCTAGAGTGGAAGAAAAAAGCTGTCTTATTCCTAAATTTACAAAAATTGTAATATCGGGTCTACTCATAATAAATATGATTAAGCTTTCGCGAAAATCCCTTCTGTAGATTGCAGTAAAATACTTATAAATAAAACACTCAAAAAGTATTTACCTATGAAATAATGTTGCAATGTATGTGTATACGTGTAATCTTAAAGGCATTTACATAAATGTAGCTGTTTAAATATATTTTATCAGAATTTAAATATGAAATGATAAGTAAGAAATACAGCAAACTATTACGCAATTGTTTATTCTTTCCAAATAGTTAAATTTCACATATGTGTGGCATCTTACACTATCATCTTTACGTATTCAAGGGAAAATGCAATATAAAAAATATTTATTAATATTGATCCGCTAAAGATTACTTTTTATTTTTATTTTTGTTAAGACATATGGACGACTTAATCATTCTAAAAATGATAATCTTTCGGAAATGAAAAGTTTCCTTGTGACCAAAAATAAAAATAAAGGATATCGGGTTTCTCATTGGAACATAAGCTAAATGTTTAGAACACTATTTTCTGCTTCAAGCAAAAAAATTACAAAAGGAGCCTAGTGAATCTGAAGACACTTCAAAAAATTAAATTTAACAGAATTTTTATATTACAACTTTCTTTTAAATGAGAGATTAATTGGTATTATTAGAGCTTATAAAAATCATTACTGCTATAATTATATCAATATGGTCGGACTTCTCGCTACTTACATTAAGAGACTAAGCTCATGGATCCATCTTCACTCACAAAGATGCTTACTCGGTAAGGACCAACTTTTAACTATAGAGGACGTAGTTCGGGTTAATTCATCTTTCGAGTAAGCAAAAGTACATGATCTAATCCAAATGGGTTATAATTGTAAAAGTCCAACCCACAAAGACGTCTAGATCTCAATTAATTAATGGCATCTCAACATCGGGCACATCTCGATACATTTCGAATAATTTACCTAATTTCAGAGTTCTATCTACGGTGAGATCTTGTATACAGCGATTTCGTTGGCGACCATTTCTATGTTATTCCTTATATTTATACAGATATATTTTACAACAGTTTACGATAGTGTGTGTTTATAGCTCTTAAATTATGCAGTTGCCAAGCTTGAATAATTTTCAAATGAATCAAATATCAAAGATCACGCTGACACCGTCAACTATCAAAAACGCTTCATCATAGGTCAAATAAATCTCCCAAAAAAAAATAATATTACATCACATATTTGAAATTATAATGCAGATAGAATGCTGAATGGTTCGTGTGTTCCTTACATGGTTCATAATTCAGTTCCTTTTCAAAAATTTTATGTTTATAAAATGCTAACATAAAACTGTTTCAAAGCATCAGTATAAAATAACATATTAATGGTTCAAACATTTAGTAATTATACAACTAGTTGAAAGAGAAAATCAATTAAATTTCAAATAACATCAGACATTTATAAATATACATTTTCATAGATGATTTTTTTTTAAAGGAATTTTGTCAAAAAAGCCAAAACTCGCCAAAAAAATTCTGCATTCATCACAACTATATTCCAGTTTCTTTACGAGGAACGGTGTTATATACATAAATAAAAAGAGCTTCAAGCAGAAGATTTTAACAAAATTTCATTATAATTTTTTCAACCATTTTGGTCCCTCTCTTGAAAAGAATGTGGACGATAATAGAACATTTGTTGCTATTGTTGGATGCATCCATCCATTGATGCCGTTTTATCTTCCACTTCAATTTCATAATTTTGAAACGTCTAAAAATAGGGAGTCAAGCTATGTCCTCCAATTGTGAAAGCCAAAGGAGGACTCCAAGAGATCTCAGTGCTTCTCTCCCAGCCGCGTCACTGGTATAGTAAGCCAGTAGAGACTGATGCAGGGCACTAGAGCAACAGACGCTCAGGACATGAATGAAGAATCTAGCCAATGTCAGTATTCCAATATATACATTTTTACAAAAGGTCGCGGGGCCATTGCCGTTTTAACCTCCGAGGAGGATTGTAGGGATTACGGGAGCCAGATAGAGACTGTGCTACAGGATTAGGATGATGAGTGAGATTCTGGTGAAATTTGGAAAATTTGTCTGGGATTAGGTCAAGTACAAACGGGATATTAAAGTCATTATGTAGGATTTTATTGGTCACATAAAAGAGAGCATCGACTATTGTTCGAAGAACTTTAGACTGGAAGGATTGAATGCGTTTGATGGTAGAAAGTTTTGCTGTCCCCCACAGTTCGAGTCCGTAGGTACAGATAAGTTTCAGGATTGTCTTGTAGATTAATAGTTTGTTCTCAATTGAAAGTTGGGAATTTCTATTGAGTAGTCTATATAGTTGGCCATATCGTCGGTTAAGCTGTGGCTTTTTATTGATCTAAAAATTTGGATTATGAGAAAGGAGGTCGAACAGTACCTTTTCCTGATATAAAATATACAATATAATAAACGCTTGTTTGTGGAGTAAAACTGAATTATTTAACTTTTTCTCCATGTCACAACAATCCTAGCTAGACTCCCGCCGATCTGATATTTTTCACCTCTCTCTTGCAGATCAGAATGACACCCTAATAGTTCAGGAATTTCCAGATCCGGGACCAGTCTGCGAACGAAAGTAGTCCCGAGAAAAGACTTATATTTTCTTCTTAAGGACGAATGGCCTCCGTATAACAAATTACTAGATAATCATCATCAATTTAGAACACCTGTAGTGACGCGAAATTATGAGGAGTGAAAGTAATTAATTGATGATTGGGTATAGAGCAAAGTTCAAAACATCCGTTGCACCTTTTTTTGTTGCTGAAAAATTAATAAAAGTACAACGGAATCCGTCAATGATGGCACATGGCCTAGGAACAAAAGAGGGCCCGTGGTTTCACCAATCACACCGCGATTTCGTTTTTTACATAATCGATAGGGTGATATCATTATAGCCTTCGTGGACGAGATAGAAAATAACACGGTGAGCGAAAGTGATCGCTGGGCAGGCGAAGATTAGTGCGATGCGAGAGAAGGTGACCCTGGCGCCAGGAAGAGTCCCTCCGTTTCCCCGCCACTAGCCCACTTTCCCGCCCGCGGGGAAAGTACCTCGCTGACGGAAGTCCGGAAGTGACAAAGGCCTTTGGCCCACATCCGAGCAGCGGATGCATTGATTATGATGTTCAGGTGCAATGCATAAGTCAACGTTAATTTCACAATAATTACTACACAAGTTGACCTACAAGCACTAACATAGTCCATCATCAAATCTCATTCCTCAGCTTTCGCTAACGCATGCCTAGTATGTTGTCTTCGACACACACACACACACTTATGCTTGTTATGTTAAAAAAATATTATAAAAAATGGCTCGTTCGATTTAGCTCTAACTAGGAGAAAAGTTGAGAATAGTTAACTAATGGTCTAGTATCACTTCGATCAAATTCCATTGAACAATTCAAATTATTGCACTAGCGAACTCAGGATTTAATTTTGGGAGGGGCTTCAGCCCGAAAGATTTTTTTTTTCATATACATATAACGATAATTAATTTGAAAAGAAAGAAAGAAATTAACTACCTATATGCAATGGTGTTTAAGTGGTTCCTGAAGTCCTATATTAAATGTAATTACAGGAACAAGAAGAGATAGTTTTTAATATTTTTTTCTGTGAAACATGGTTATATTTTACCATTTTTTTTTTTTTTTTTGGGGGGAGGGCTTCAGCCCGAATTACCCATTACATGGTCAAATTGTTTGTTCGTTTTTCTTTCGCTCCATGATGCCTTTTTTTTTTCTTTTTTTTTCAAAACTATGTCTACCGTCGATTAGCGGGACTCTATTCTCGATACTTTTTCCGTGAAAATTCCTTTGCTTCATGTAACACTACAATTTTAATATTTTTTTAATGAGGGCAGTTTTTGATACAGGTCATAATTACAGCTTTTATCCTGACATCAGTTAAAACTGAACTGAGATGTTAACTTAAAATTTTATCGTAACCTTAACAAGTAAAGATGAACAAAAACATTCATATGTAATCAGCGTTATCAACATAAGAATCAAAAGAAATAGATGTTATAATTTCTATGATCGCGACTTTGATAATAATAATGTTTATAGTATACCTATACATTTTAATGTTTTTAAATTTTTAATAATAACAATAGATGACATAAATTTATTCATAACGAGCTAAAGCGGAGTATTATTTGGCTAGAGTACAAATCAATGTTTATATATAGCACCATGAGGGTCATACATTGCTTTAGTGCTTCAAATATGTGGAGAAAATAAAGGAAACTGAATCGTAGGGGATTTGTAAGCATTTGGCAAATGAGCGTTTTTCTAATCCTTGAAACGCTCAATTGGTGCCAAGCGGAACTCATAATGGCAATATGGAAACATTGGTTTAGGTCAGTTCGGACCAAATGGCCTTTCAAGAAGTAGTGAGTGATTTGTACGAGGTGAAATGAAATAACAAATTTAAAAAAAGATGAGATAAAATTATTTTTTAAACCTAAGAATTATTTCTTTCTTGTTAATTATATCGCCATGATTAAAAAAAAACGCGAAGAAAATAATTGAAATATAATTAATATTTTTTTTAGTATTAATGTTCAAGTCTATTTTAAAAGAACTGCCTGGCTGAGACGAACATCTCTGTACTTATAGATTATTATTTCTTTTTATTGTGGTAATCCCTTTAACATCAAATGTCATTGGAATTTCTAATAATAGTTCCACATTCGGTGGTAAAACTTGATTTCTTTTAAGAATTTTATAAAATATTGGACTCCAGTATCCGAGTATTCTTGGACTTCTCCAACTATTATTGAAACTGAAGATAAAGAGAAGTGCAAAGCTTCACTATTTATCTCTTTTTTTGGCACAAGCAAAAATTAAAAAATAACATTAGAAAAAAATATTACATATTTCTTCTGCAAGAAATTTCAGAAGAAATCTGATCTGTTATCAGCAGATATTTATCTTAAATTATACGTAGTAAGTCTTTAAAATAAAGTAAGATACCTGCAATGATACTATTACTGGAGTGCGACAAGTAGGCCTTATCGAATATAAAATAATAAAAACATAAAAAAATTAATAAATAATAAGTATGAAATAATAAATATAAAATGATTTATAAAATAAAATGATTAAGGAGGGAATCGAACCCATGACGTATCCTCCAGATAATATTTATAAATTAATATTTATAAAAACTTCAACTGATATTTTTCTGAAACGGTGTTTTTCGAATTTTATAACTAGGAACTCTAAGAAGTTGATAATTAAAAGGAATACAATTTCCAAATCTGGCATATGTAAAAAATAAAAAATAAATATTAACATTTATTTTTGCCTTCCTTTTTGACTGACCACCCCAACTATTCTTCTCTTCATTATCCACGACAGTCAACCAATTACCAATTATGTATTATTGAAACTATCATTTATATGATTTAACAGTATAAATATTTCTCTGTTGACTTTAAAAAATTTCCCGATCTTTCATTCATGATGATAATTATTAATTTACGATTTAAGTGAACTAAGTAGCTCACTCTCAGTAAAACCATCTCCCGTTATTTACTAAATTTAGTTATGAATAATAGCCACATTACAACTATAAGTGCAAAGCTTCACTATTTATCTCTTTTTTTGGCACAAGCAAAAATTAAAAAATAACATTAGAAAAAAATATTACATATTTCTTCTGCAAGAAATTTCAGAAGAAATCTGATCTGTTATCAGCAGATATTTATCTTAAATTATACGTCGTAAGGCTTTAAAATAAAGTGAGATACCTGCAATGATACTATTACTGGAGTGCGACTAGTAGGTCTTATCGAATATAAAATAATAAAAAAATTAATAAATAATAATTATGAAATAATAAATATAAAATGATTTATAAAATAAAATGATTAAGGAGGGAATCGAACCCATGACGTATGCTCCAGATAATTTAAGATAGTTAAATAGTAAGATTGATAACAATTTACTACCTGATTTTCAGTAGGTAATAATATCTTAATATTTATAAAAACTTCAACTGATATTTTTCAGGAGCGGTGTTTTTCGAATTCTGTAACTAGGAACTCTAAGAAGTTGGTAATTAAAAGGAATAAAATTTCCAAATCTAACTATTGGATAACACCTGCTTCATGGCCGCTGCAGGTGCAAATATTGCAATGATCGTCCTTGATGTGGTAACGAAAAGGAAAATCTCTGCAACAACAACGCTACTTAAATGGCTAAAAAAAAAAAAAACTAGCTAAAATAAAAAAACACGAATAATAGCAAATGGGATATTTCGCTAAATGCTGAAGGTCAACTACTTCCATCCTACATCCTTTGGTTATTTATAGGATACTGCATTCTCACCATTTCTTATTCTTTAGGTAGCATTTAAAATCAAATTTGGAAAATAACTCAGAGGTTTCTTCGAATGTATAGCATCAAAACACTGAATGCACAAGAGTGGTTTGAAGTATCCTTTTGAATTTAATAAAAAGGCAACCTAGGGCATAATTTCTGTTGTTTATTTTGAATTTCCAACATTTTTTTTAATTTTTGTAAATATATTAAATTAGTGCATTATTCATTATCTTGAACTAACATCCGACGGAAGGATGACACGTCTAAATTAAAATAAAGAACCCTACAAATTCAACATACTGTTTTACAATTAACACATAATTTTTATTTCCGATTACGTAACTAAACTTCAAGGACATATCAACAACCTTCAGTTGACAAGCCATAAGAAGGCCATTAAAGAGGAGCTGGATGAGAGATCGCCTTTCCTTAATTAACGAAATAAACAAAAACCGGGAAGAGGTACATCTAATTTTACAGTACATTTTCTTATATCCACTTTTATCTATTGAGGTGTGAATCGAGAAATGGAGAATATAATGGATTAATTTTGTTAATGTATGATTTTAAAGGTTTTAAGATGTTTATAAAAATAAAAAATAATTTAATTAGGAAAAAATAATTTCTAGATTTTCAAGAATTATAGCATTTAGAGAATTGCACAAAGACCAAATACATAAGGCTTCAGAGAAAAAATTCATGTGAAACGAAAATTTCATCAATTGAGTGATGTTAAAAACAATGTTTCTTCCGGTTACAGTTCTGAACTCGTTTTAAGAATTTAAAGGCAAACAACTCCCTTTTCCCTCAACATGTGGAGGGGACAGGATTGGTTCGGAGATTACCTGGCTAATTGTAAATAATGTATATAGGTATGTTTTATCTAGGATGTTTGTTTTACTTTTATTTCTATTTTTACTTACTTATGTGTATATATATATTTTTTTTTTCTTTTTTCTTATTCTTTTGTTATTACTTTATTTATTTATATTTTTGTATATACGGTATGAATGTAAGCTCTGAACTCTGTTATAAGTGTCCTTAATTGTGAAAAATTGTAATATTTCTCAATAAAGTGTTTAAAAAAAAAAAAAAAAGGCAAACAAAAATATGAGCTTTTGAAAACGTTCGTAAATTTTTAGGCTATACCAGTCACTGCTCTGTTGTTACTGAAAATTTACTTCATACATACTTTCTGTTCATTTATCTCTTGTTAGAATTTTCGTGAACCCAAAAAACAAAAGAAAAGATTTAGAAAATTTTAGAAATTTAAAATAATACATTTTCACAGTAAAAGAAAACAAAATAAATGTATGATTTGTTTTCTCAAATATAATGTTAAAATTTTAATAAAGTGATCAAATCCGGATAACGTACTTTTTTTATTGAATTTTAGAAAAATTTAGAACATTTATAACTTTTTCTAACAATGATGAATTAAAAATTGAAGTTCCCATTTTATTTTTTATCATACGGTTTCAACATCAAACCTCATTTTTCCCAAATTTTTTTGATTAATAGGATTTAATTAATTTTTAGAGCAGTTTTATGATTGATCGTTTTTTTTTGTTTATTTTTCGATTCTTTATTGAGAATATTACAATCTACCACATCTAAGGACAATAGTAATAGTAATAAAAGATTAGCTCATTCATACAATGTACAATAAATAAATAACAAAATAATAATATTAAAGGTAAAAAAATGTATATAAACTAAAAGAAACTAAACTGATCAAAATAAATACTTAAATACACACATGTTTTTATTCAATAAACAAAATTAAA